AACTTAATGACGTTATCAGCGCCTGGAATCAATATCGACGAAATCCTACTATGAAATAAGATAGAACCGGTTTTAATGTAACAGCAGATCAATGGATTCTCAAGATTTGTACTAAGATGTGTAATGAAATGAAAGGTGCTACATCGTGACATGTTCAATATCGTCTGTGAGAGTCGATTCGCATTCCTAGCTAATCTGCTATATCTAGGCGGATATGTTTGAAGAGAAGCCTTGAATTCTCTTTGCTTGCTAGATATTTCAGCATTCATCCATGATTTTTTTCAAAACATGCTTGTTTTGAACTCTTTTCAATTTGATCAATGCTCGTATAAGAGACTTATCGCAATTGCATCGTTCTATCGCCTTATAAACAAGGGTCGTTGGAGAGTCGAGCCGTTTTAAAATCAGTAACTTTGTGATTCAATTTTGTGTACAAACACAGCTCCCATTCTAACTTAAGCTTCATGGACACTAATAGCAAAGCCATTATATCACATACATGTCTGTTTTAGACATAAAAAATGACTTTTTGGGCAATAAAGAGCAGAGACACATAATTCAGTTTTTGAATAATGTCCAACAAAAAAATCTATGCGCATTGTTTTTCACAAAACTAACTCTGAAGTCTAACATTTTTTGCATGAGTCTCGCACAAGTCGAATAGATTCCTCGGAAGCAGATCAAAACTGAACCAAGACCTTTTTGTCGAAGGGTGTGGGTGTGTATGATATTTGAAAAAAAAAGTCTAATAGTTAAAATGTTTTGATGCATATTGTGCAGCTCGTCGATTGTAAACATATAGATAAGATAAGAAAGGTAACCGATTGTGTAAAGCAATATATTTATTAACTCGTAGCTTTACAATGACATCGAATGATTTGCTCAGTGTTGGCTTGGCACAAATTGCACCTATTTGGTTTGATCGTGAAAAGATATTGAAAAGGTAGCAAAATCTATTCCCCACGCAGCTGATAAAGGTTGTTCATTGGTGGTTTTCGGCGAAGCAATCGTGCCTGGTTATTCATTCTGGCTTGACTTGAAAGATGATGCTGTATCTAATTGTTCAATACAAAAAGAAATTCATGAAGAATATATTGTGCCAAGATGTGTCGATTGAAAGAGGCGATTTGAACGAAATTTGTTTATTGGCCAAAACTTGAAACATTGCCACTTATTTAGGGTGTATTGAACATGCAATAGATCGTGGGGGTCATAGCTTATATTGCTCGATGGTTTTTATTGATCGTAATGGTCTAATTGGTTCAATACATTGAAAACTAATGCCAACCTATTAAGAACGATTGATATGGTTAATTCGTGATGATAATGGATTACATGTTTATTCATTCTGTATATTCACATGTGATGGTTTGAATTGTTGGGAAAATTGAATGCCACTTGCATGATCTGCTCTCTATGCACTAGGCGAAAATTTGCATGCGTGTATCTTTTCAGGTAGTCGTCAGAATACGTACGATATAGCATCATTTATTACCAAAGAGTCCCGTTTGTTCGTCGTTACTGTTTCGGGTTTGATGTGAACACAAGATTTTCTGATTGGTTTGATATATCGAGAAAAAATCCTTAAACATGCATCAGATATACTTACTGATGGTGGTTCATGTGTTGCCAATCCTGATGGTACTTGGATTATTGAACCGACAACGATTGATGAACAAGTTTTACTCATGGCTACACTGGATCATCGATGTGTGTGTGAAAAACGACAACATTGTGATCCATCCGGACATTATTCACGTTAAGATATTTTTAAATTAGTTGTCAATCGAGAGCGACAATCTGTCGTCACATTCTAGGAATGATACAATCGGTTTTCTCAGTTATTGTTCATCATGAAAAAATTAGTGACACGTAGCAGAAAAAATAGAAGTAGTTAGACTTTCAAAAACGTAATGAAGGTAGTCAACAATACTACTTGAATTTATGTGACAGGAAAACCTGAATAAACAACATAGATAGACTGGATCATAAATTAGTGTAATAAATTTCCAGCTTATTAATTTTTTTATAAATACTTAACATCACCTCGTGGACATAAGTTTCTTATGCGTATTTTAGACTAGAACAATTTTTCTCTTATGAGTCATTGATATTATATTTATTATGCACTCATTGATTACTAATGTAAAAAAATTTAGAACTCAAATTACACCAAACGAGTCCCTGATACAAGCTCTGATGAAAACTGATGTCCGATACGAATCTATAAGTTTTAACTAATCTAAATATTATTATTGTGCATATTCGCGTCGCCCACAGTCAATGGATTAAAAAGTAAACTATTCATTTGATCAATAGAACAACTTTATGTCTCACTCTCTCTCTCTCTCGTATTTTTTTAGATGAAATCTCTTGACAGAGACAAATGTCGAGCAGTGCTCGAGGCATTGTCATAGCGAGTAAGGATCTGTAGAAGCAGTGATAACTTTATCATTTAAAATGTGCGCGTATGATAAGGAACGAGTCAGCATCATGAGAGAGAAAATACAATCATTTTGCTGTCACTGTTGTAAAATATCAAAATGACATATTTTCTTTTTTTTTAGCAGAATCAGTTGAGAACATGGAATCGATTGGTATACTCCTGATCCTCTTTTTCGTTGTTGTTCAAAAAAGCGAAGCCACTCAACTGTGTCCATCATCATCAGAGAATCCTCGGTGTTTGGATGAAACTCGATTGAATTGTAATGATTCATTATTTGCTCCAACTGATTTTCACTGTTGCGATGGTCTGACATGCGTTCCTGCAACGATCCCTGCCACCGACACACAAGAACGATATGACACGACAATGTGTGTAGCCTCTTCCTCGAACAGACGTCGTGCTCGACCTAGTATTGCACCAGCCAAAACTCCACCTGTTATGGCCTCTTCTTGGTCAGCCGCTACGACTTATTACAACATGTCCAATGGTGATACGGGCTGGGGACACTTTTGGTTTGATGAATCGCATAGAGCGATCCGAACCGACTTTTATCCAACATGTCCCTTTTTACAACTGTATGCAGCCGGTATCGATGCCAATTATGTTCCATGCACTGTGCTCTTCTACGAAGGACAAAATTATTTTGTGTATCCATCGGCACATGTTTGCTGCAACTATACATTTCCTGCATGGCATCCTCAGTGGTTATGTCAAAGCAACGCAACGTACAATGGAAATATTCTTGTTAATGGTCAAATGACCGATTTTTGGATGGTCGAATGGGTAAGTGAAGAGAAAGAAGTAATTTAAGGTTGACTGGATGAAACAAAGTGAGAACTAATCTGACGAGATGATAAAGAAATCAGGTAGAATTAGTCAGTGCATTAAGCAAAGTCTTTGCCTGCATTCGACAAACATGTGCAATTAAGAATTAGGAGTAAAAAGAACAAAAACACAGAAAGCATGGACTAACTGATTACCCCATGATTCATCTAAATCGAATTGAAAAAAATACTGAAGAAAAATAGTTGATCTAATTCGATTAGCTATGTCAATTTTGTGAGATTAAACAACCGATGCATCTTACAGTACGACATGTCGACGATATTTTGTTGTTAATACTTCAGACTTAATCATATCAATTTCGAATGCGTTAGTTCAGTGCCATTTTTTCATAAACAAATTATTTGAAATTCTTTTGTTTGGCTATTACATTCCCAGTTCATCTATAAACAGAAACCTCTTGAATTGAACTGATAACGAAAGTCTGTTGGATACCGTGTTCCTCTCTGTCCATTGAATGAATCCTATCCAAGCTTGTATTTAAAAATTTTAGTTTTCCAATTTTACTGGTGCAGGCCCAATACGAAACCTCCGCAATATGTACACTGTAGTGAATTCGCATATTCCTGTACGTTTTCGAGAAGATCTGGACACAGGCTACCTTGATTTTCACGATTATGTCGAAGGTCCTATTAATCCGACTATATTTACTTCAATGATTGATTCCTATGGTCCATGTCATTCAGGTCATGGTAGTGCTGGTAGCACTGATCGAACATGCACTCATTATGCTGCGCAAACACTACGTCGTACATGGCCATGTGATAATCCCACATGTTCCTGAGAATTGCATTGCCAGAATCGAACTTTGAGAGAAAAGTTGGTTTTCATTGAATTTATTTTCTATGGTTTGTTCTAATAGATATTGAAATACATGCCGACTTTCAGTAACCGAATGTCGAGCTGTTCATCACTCAAGAGTGTGAGTGTGGATGGGTTTAGATGGATTGAAGCGGATGTGTTTGAGGGTAGGTGTTTCTGAGTGTGCGATGGTATGAGTGATGTGGGTGTGTTTGGATGTGTGTGTGATTATAAAGGTGGGATGATGCCTTCAACGCGGGTATGTTGGTAATTTAAGTCACATCCAAATTGATAGCCACAGCCACAACTATCTTTTTTTCCGAGATTTTTACATTTCGTTTTTTTTTTCGACATTATTTAAGAGAACCATGGGTGTAGGTCTCTCTTTAACACACATTCATATACAGTCATACTGACATCCATAACCACACGCCCACCCTACCCCTACCCAAATCGCAGCAACAGCCACAGGGTGGGATGTGGGTGAATGTGACTAGGAATTACGATTAGAGAACATCCAAACCCACGTCAGCAAAGGTTTTTCTATGTTCATCCTACCTATAATGACGCCATCTTATTTCCGTACACGATGGGTGTGGCTGTGGAGTGTGCGTGTGGGGTGTGGGTGTGGATGTGGATGTGGGGTGGGTGTGGAGTATAAGTGAAGAGCGCATCTACACCCACACCAACACCCTCCGATGCACGGTTTCCTATCCTTTATCTCTGAAAAGTTTATACGTGATTATACAGACGAAAACATCGTTATTCGAGAGAAAGCAGATTGAACAAACAACAATTCAACATAAGAAGAGCGAGAGACAAAAAATGATGGCGAGCAAAACATGGAAATGAAGATGTGAGCAATACAGCATCATGTTAACGCATTCAGTTACTAGCGCAACGTAAAACTTTATGAAATTACGCATGCTCGTGTTTGTAGTCGTTGCGATCGATATCTTTGCGCCAAACGATTTACTGGATCTACATAATTTTCTCGCAACCAGATCTGCTTGAAAGCAAGTATCCTATTAACTCGACAGTTGCGTCCTGCAATAACTAGTGACGGAACTACAACCAACTGATGATTCACTTGTTCAATCTCATAGAATCTGCCCTGCATATCACGGCTGAGTGCATCGCTGGGAAAAAATACTTTACCGATCAATAAATCTGGACGAAGAGTAAGAGCAAGGAAATAGACGAGACGATCCTCTTCATCGGATAATGATGCCCAGTTAGAATAGTTTGTAAAACGACGAATGTCGTTATCATTATAGTCGATACAGTAGCAAACACAGTTGAGATAATACATTAATTTTGCGATGTCATTATTTGGTACATTGGCTCTTACTGTAGTGTCACGAATTTGAGTTTGCTGTCGTTGCAAATACGCCATTTCAGCAGTTTGCATTAAGAAGCAATGCAGTTCGAGTGATGTAAGTTAGACAGTTTACTCGCAGTTAAACTTTCTCACCGACTACACCGATTCAAATATATTAAATATCTACCATTCTTTTATACTAGTGAAAATACTAACTTCCTATTTTTTCAGAATAACGAAGCAAAGAAGAAACCACTTGACATGAAAAAGCATGATTCATACTTCTGCAAAGTTTCCAACAACTATAACTCTCTTTTTAAATCATTACTCATCAGAATGCAAAAAAAATGTGATTGTAACGTAATCGAATACATGTGTGTGTCGAAGGTTGGAATTTACACAGAACTCTGTCACATTTCTGACAAGGAGGAAAGAAGAATGCCAAGAAGGCGCACACCAACTATACTCCAATGTAGTCCACTGTGTTTCAGGTGGAATCAAGCTAGACTCCATTTTTTTAGTCGAGTAGAATGAGTCTTGCTTTTCCTGCTGATTTAAATGAATTATATTCGAACATGATTTTAGCGAATTTAAATTTGTTAGCGATTCACTTGTTAAATATTAGGTCAAGGTCGACTGATTGATCTGCCTGATACCTGCTTATGATTCGCGGCTACTAAATCGCTACAGCAATAAACGACCATTTACGTCTTTAGAGTGAGTGTGGGTGGGTGTGGCTGGGTGTGGCTGGTGTGGGTGTGGGTGTGGGGTGTGAGTCGTTGAAGAGACTGACACCCACTCCCACACCCACCCACACCCACACGCACACAGACCCACACACCGCACACCCACATCCGAAACTCCGTTTGCGGCGCCCGCATTAGCTGGACGATATGTGCGTGTGAGTGTGTGTGAGTGAACATCGTTGAAACTCCTTTCGCGGCATCCCCCCTAGCTGCGATGGTGTGCGTGTGAATGTGTAAGTCGATATTGATCAGTACTGCCGGTTTGAAACTTGAAACCTGAAATTTCAATTGAATTGAAGGTTTAACTTTGACCTATATGATTTATTTGGGTTGGGTTGGGTCATAAAATTCACTTTAACTTACAAGTGAGTATCTTTATTTATTTGGGTTGTGTTGGATGTACCCAACCTAGATAAATATTGATAGTGCTTTGCAAGACAAAATGAATTTTCTCACCCCAACCAACCTAGCCCAAGTGTATACCGATACTCACTTACAAATCAAAATACATTTCCTAATCCAACCCAAGTGCATGGGTGTTGAAATAAGTTATAAATATTTGATATCCAAATTATTTCACACTAATCGTTAGGAAGACTTTTGTTTTGAATTTAAAGGAAAATTTCTTCAGAGTCAGTTAACTTGAATTTCCTAGAAAGAAGAACTTCCCATGGTGTGAACATTCTTGATTTCATGCCAGTCGCTATAGCAACAGCATTTATCCTATGTTGAGCGTTGTACTCTTCTTCGTGTACTCTGCAGCCATCGTAGTACTATAAATATGGCATATGCACCTGGCTGGCAATGATGAATAGGTCGTTCGAATAAAGTCTCCAATTTCAACAACACACCCTTGCTTTAATGATATCAGATATCAGAGTGTTTCGCCAGTCGCCGTGATACATATTATAAATTACAAAGAAATATCTGCTTTCTAACAACTCCTTCATTTGGTCAGACAACTTATGATATACATTCCAGTTATTCTTATTCTTTACTTCTTTCTGATGGGTGGGGGATTGTGGGCATAGACTGTGGGTGTCGCTGTTAGGATAGAAAACAAACACACCCACACCCGCATACCCAGTTCCTTAGTATCTCAGGATTCCGTGGTATCCCAGGGTTCTCTGATATCCAAGAGTTCCCTGATATCCTTCGGGTCCCTCATATCCTTGGTATGTGTTAGTTTCTTAGCGCTCGTTCGTGTTAATGGATATTTGAGTTCCCAATTCCCAATGAGTTCCCGAATTCCGAGAACTAGGACACTATTGTAGAGGCTAGTAATTCTATCTACCTTAGTTATAAATGCTTAAATTGCCAAAAAAAGTTATCAAACAAAAACAAATCATCATGGTTTAGTCCAATAAGTTTTCATCATGGTTTTTTCAGCAACATATAAAACAATGTCATTATTTACTTAGAGGTGAGAGGAATGAAGCTAAGGTTCACCAAGCGTACTCATCTGAGACTACGCTTTCAGGTTCTGTCGTTGAGATGTAGTCAAAATAGGCTAGACAATCAGCAGCTACAGCAACTTAGCAAGGGTAGTAACCAAGGAGATCAATTCAATACCTATATTTTCTTTCAAAAGGATATCTAAAGAATGAGTGAAAAGAATGAAATTTCCCATGAAATCTCATAAAAACTACCTCGAATATATAGCATAGAAAGATGAATGGAATATCCTTTCCCTAAATAGATACACCGAAGTTCCGAGAACTTTTTGATTACCCTATCTATGTTCGTTTTGGATATTCTTAATGTTCAGATATTTCTTGCTATCTTTTTTATGTTGTTATGGCGTGCGAGCGTTGAGATCATTGTTAGTAGGATTGGCGTGCTTGTGAGTTGAGTACGTGAACAGACGCTGGTTGCTAGTGATCATGTATTTTGTGATGTCTAGAAGTACAGATGTTTATTGCTAATATTGGTGTTTTGATGGTGTGTGTAAGTTTTGTGATGACTATTGTTGCCAGTATTGATGTACTGTTCGTATAAATAGGAGTTAAGATCATTTTTTGTCCATAGAATCATTATGGTTTTGCAGTCTGTGAGTATTGAAATGGTGCCAGATATTTTGATGTCATTCAAATGTAAAAGTGTTGAGATGGTGGTTGCTAGTAATGCATTGTTGTTATGGGGTGCGGTAGTGGAGATTGGAATCGCTACTATTGATGTACTACTACTGCTGTGGTTTTAACTATTGATTTCCAGACACAGTGACGCTTTTGTGTGCTCTATAACTGCGGAGGTGGTTATTGCTAGTGTTTATGGGCTGCTGTGGTATTTACGTGTCGGGATGATTCTTGTTGCTCATGTGGTTCTGTTGTTCAAGTGTGTAAATTTTCACATGTCGTTGCTAATACTAATGTGGTGTTGGGAGGTGTGTGCGCGTTCAAGTAATTGTTTCCTGCATTGGTGTGCAGTGGTGTCTGGATATTTAGCTGATTATTCTCGGTAGTATAATTGTGTTATTGGCGTGTGTAAGGTATCGATGCGGCTATGGATCTTTTTTTCTCTCACACTCACACCCCACACCTTAACATTTTCATCCGCATTTCTGTACGTTGACACAGCACTATCCGCAATAGAAGGTAGTGTATTTATCAGATCGTCAAACATGATGACGCAATCGTCTCTTCTACATTTATCGTTGGAATCTGCTGAATGTCTTTGAATGTAATCCCTGTTCGATAAAGCTGATCTGTTGGTGATTTTTAATTTAAGAGAGCGTTGATTAGAAATGTAATTAATAAAATCCACAATGGATGTTTATCAATTGAATCTATCGTCAAACGTACCTTCTCCAAAGTAACAAATGGCAAACAACTGTTGCTAACAGTATTTCATTAATTTCTATAAATAACATAACTGTCATCTGGATTTCTTCCACACAGAAGAATCAGCACAATACATGAATGTAGGTTACTTTTTGCTGAATTGTGTTATTCAAGACGTATTTATTGGAAATAATCTACTAATCGAATACAGTTATATTATTAAATTACTGTCTTCTAGAAAATGTCCTCCAATTCATGCAGCTCTAGACTCATGCTATTTCTCCACAAACTCATCAATCGTATGCCATGATTATGTGCTTGTTTAAGATGAATTCGTTAAAATAAGAAAAATGATACTTGGAATTATTCATGGTATATATCGCACGGTAAAACTCGTTCTGTCTGTTTATAGCTTCTTTGACACTTTTAATTAAAGCTGTTAGCGCAATTGCTTCACAATTCAAA